ATTCCATACGCCTACAAGTCATATCTAAGCCTTAGGGACAATTTGGAGGGGTTTTGGGGCTTAAAAACCCCATTAACTGGAGTTCACGGTCCAAGAGTGTTCTTGGGCCGTAAACACATGATTTTGTCCCTATTTTATGTTTTAAACACGAATTTGCATGCTAGATAAGCTATACAATAAGTTAGGATAATTTACCTACTCGTTTGGGGCTCGAAACGGACGATTTTTGGCTCGGGAACAAGTTGTAGAGAGAGAGAGAGAGTGTAGAGAGAGAGTGGACAAGTTGGAAATGGAGTTTACTCTCCCTTATATAGGGGCTTGAGTTGGGGCTAAGTGAAAATCTACCTGATATTCCCGTTAAACGGGGCTTTTGGTTGCACCCGATTTAGTGGTCGTATTTTGATTTGGTTGAAACTAAAAATTTTCTAGGGAAAAATTTGGGGTGTTTCTAATTTATTTTAACCCTCATAAAGTCATTCAAAAAGTCTCAAATTAATTAACCAGTCCAAAAGTTAACGGACAGTTAAATAAAACGAGGCTTATTAACGGAAGAAGGGGTTAAAAATGACGGAATAAATTTCGGGTTGTCACAAAATGCAAAGTTTGGTATGACTGATGATTCCAAAGTTAAGACTTTGATGGCGTTTTGAGCGAAACTTACTCCATCTCTTGATAAGTTTGTTGATGAGATTTCTTTATATCAAAAAATGATTGGTTCTCTACTATAATTAACATCTAGTAGGCATGATAAAATGGTTGTTGTTTGTTATTGGGCTAGATATCACACAAATCCAAGGGAACCAATCATGACAACACTGAAGAACTTTTTCAGATATCTACAAAGAACAACATCTTTTGGTTTGTGGTATCCAACTAACATTGGGTTCTTTGTATAGGTTTATTCAGATGCAGATCTTGGAGGATGTGGTCTTGAAGGAAAGAGTATGATTGGGGGCTGGTAATTCTTGGATGGGAAATTAGTAAGTTGGTAATCAAAGAAACAAATGTGTGTTTGCATATCTACTGTTGAAGCTAAATACATTGCAACAATGTCTTGTGCATCTCAAATAATTTGGATTCAAATTCAATTAAGTCATTATGTTCTAAATAGGAAAAACATTCCTTTGTATTGTGATTTTGAGAGTACAATTCACATTTTTCATAATCATGTTTAACATTCCAAAATCAAGCACATTGCATTAAGATATCATTTTATCAGAGACCGTGTTGAATTTGGGAATATTGAAGTGCATTTTGTTAGATGTGCAGATCAATTAACAGATATTTTCACTCAAGCGTTACATGAAGTATCTGTTAATCGTATATTTCGAGTATTGGGTATGATGGAGGCTGAACTTGTTCCAAATTCTATAAACAAATAAGGATGCGAAAAGTTAGTGTTCAATTGAGACTGACTGCGAAAAATCATAATTGATCGCAACCGTATTATACTATTAGTGGTTAATGTTCAATTAAGACTAACTTGATCGATTGGATTGATTCATAACAGGTAAAAAAATTTGTTGCTATATCTTTTTTGTAATTAAAATGCGACTGGCTGCGATCGATCGCAACAAGTCGTAGTCTATTTTTTCTCTCTTTTATAAAATTTTCAAAAATCCAAAAGTATTTTCTCTTTTAGAAAATTTTCAAAAATCCAAAAATATTTTCTCTTTTATAATATTTTCAAATATCCAAAAATATTTAATCTTTTATAAAAATTTGAAAAATCCAAAAATATTATGTATTTTTGTAATTATTTTTTTATGAACACTTGTTGATTTTTCATGCCAAATTGGAATTCTTGGGGATCAAGTATTTTCCTTTTCTGAATTGACTAGTTAAGTATCCCTAGATGCATGTTGCAGCATGTTATCCAATGCCTCATTTGATTCTTCGTTTATGAAGCCTTAATGAAATCTCTTATTAGGCTATATTACCAAAAGTCATCGGGCTACCTTTCTCTTCTCATTTTGGAGTTTAGAGATGTATGATTGATTCATATTTCATTGTAGAGGTATTGCGATTCTTTAACCAATGTTGGAAACCAATGGGGTCTTGGGTATACACAAACCTAAACATAGGTTTCCTTTTTAAACCAAGCATGGTATTTGTTTAACCCTTGACATTCTAAGCCTCTACCAACTTGTAATTATGGTCAATCAAAAATCGTTTTTATGATCAATTTCATTGTCACCATGAGATTGTGAGAAACTAGTTTTTCCATCTTCTTATCTCATTTTTCTTAAACTATGCACACATAATGATGCATATCCCAAGACATAATTCTAGTTAATACCAACTAGAATTGAGGTGTACCAACATTTTTTGTTTATGAACTTATCATCATTGTCACCATGATGAAAGTGAGACCCACTAAACAATACATTTTAAGGAATTGAATGTGAACAATTTATTATTCTAGTTTAACTCATAAATTGACGGAACTTCCCAATGTTCAAAATCTCACAACTTTTCATGTTATGAAACCTTAATGAAATTGGTTGATCCCAAATTATTTCTACCTAAATATGTTCAACTTTTTTTTCTTATTATGAGATTTTCGTTTGAACATTCTTTTCTATCTTGTCACTTAGATATCAATCAAAAGCCAATGATTACATGAATTTAATTACACCGGTCAGTTAATTTTTTTCTTTTGTATCATTGCACTTATTTTAAGTTTCAAATATGATTGGAAACAATCCTTCCCATTTGGAGTTATAAAAAGAAACCCTTCGTAACTTCTTAATAAGTTGACGATTTTATTTCAATTGGAAACCATGCAAGCACTTCTTACTCTCTCTTGACTTTGAAGGGAGAGAATATTTTCCCGTGATTATATTACTTCGATGTCAAATAAATTTTGATATCACAAGAATTCCAAAAAATAAAATAAATTTTATTCTCTCTTATTCTTTGGAACACATTTGCACTAGAATCCTTGAGGTTGTGAATAAACAACTTATGCCAAGATTGTAACAAATCAAGTTAATGATTCTAATCATTCTTCGCATGATTTGATGAAACTCTTCTTTAGCCTTGTTATATTTGGAAATTCTATAACATTGTCATAATTCCAATGGATACTATTTTAATTTTTAGAAAATTGAATGGTTTATGAAAATGTTGCAAGCTGAAATGGCATGTTTCTTTTATTACAAATGGTTACGATCAATCGGAGTGGATTGCAATGGATAGTAATGGATCATGTTGAATCGTAATTGGTTCAATGTGGAACTATGTTCAGAAGGATTCTTATGTGTCCGTGACAAGGTTTATGAGCTGACGTCTTCTTATTGGACCTAAAATATATGATGTTGGTTGTGGTATTCAAGACTGACATGGGATGAGACGTGTTGGCGGTTCATCTTTCCTACTTTATTGGTCATTTCAAAATTAAAATTGATGCTTGTGTTTCTCTTATTTTCTTAATCAATAGTGTGTTTTTCTAAATATCTAATGGAGTCATATGATGATCATATCTCTTTCATGGATCAATCTACGTTATCAACACATTCAGTGGTGAAGGCTAATCGGAATTTGATTTTGAATGTTGATGAATCAAAGTATCTCACCGCTTTTCAACCAATGATCATGTGTTTGAAGCATTCAACCATAAGAAAATGCCTACATCCTATTTTGAGGTTCCTTTATCTGCTCTCATTCTTTCTTATAGTTCTGCAAATTACAATGTTATGCTCGGTGTTATGAACTTTGAAGTTCAAGGCCATAAGATGGAAATCTCTAAATCAGCATTTTGCAAGTTACCGAGGTTACATATTGCGAAAGATTATACAATTTTGTTTCAACATCTTTCTTAGAAGATTATTTGGTTCTGACAATACGAAAAAATTGTTTCATACTTTGCTTTATGTATTGTATTTTGGAGAGAAAATTAACTTAGTTCAAATTCTATGGGCTCAAATTACTCAAAGTATTTCTTCGTCAACAAAGAATACCGAAATTTCTTGTGTAGGATTTTGGTCGATAGTGGTAAGGAATACTCGTGATCACTTTAAGGTTTCTATAATGGCTGATTTTCGGATGGTCAATTTTGTTGTGTTAAATACTACCACTTTCGCTTCTTTTAATGCGAAAGTTTTTCATAATATCGGATAAATTCCATAAGTGATGCTCAAGGGCGTTCCAGCAGAGAATGAAGTTGTTTTGCTATATAGTAAAATTCCCAAACCTGGCTAGAGATCTATGTCTACTTCAATGCAAGATGCTTTGGAATCCACATGGGAAATTTGTTGAGGAATTTTATCTGAAAAACCTTCTAAGAGATATCCAAAGAGAAAGAAGAGTCAGGTGTCTGTTATTGATGAGGATGATGAGGTTACACTTAGTGACAATCGGAACGATGAATCTATGGTGATTGAAGGTACATTCTTGTCGTCATATGTACATACTCAGTTGATTACTTATGTTCTGATTACGTATTCGATTCCTATTCAAACTGAAGGTCTGATTCTTGTCTAAACAGATGAGGAGGTCTATCACAACATTATGACATAACCCATTCTTAATCTTTCTCAATCAATCTCTATCACCAACGGTTCGACGTCTCATTCATCTAACCACTACTACACCAATTCCAACAATAACATTCATTTCATCTACCACTATTCAAAATCAAATAGTTGTTCAACCTCTACCAGTCTCATCTGTTGCAACTTTAACTCCATTACCTCCACCAATTTTCAATAAGTCTACTACCACAACTACGAAACCATTTGTAATTCAGAATGACGAGCATGTTTATGAAGATAATGATGAATTTAATGTTCCTGATGATGATGACGTTCAAGAAATTGGATCTTTTCAAACTTTTGTTGAACTAGTTATTGTTGCTTCTTTGCATTATGGTTAAACTGATCTCGATGAAGATTTTGTTGTTGCTCATGCTACCAAGAAATATTATCAAATGATGACTCGTAAGCTTAATGCTTTGGTTCGTAGGGTTGATTCTTTCAGCTACAAATTTCCAAAATTTGATGATTACTCATGAGAATACTTTGAAGACGATTCTTGATGAAAGCAGACGATTATTTGATAATCAAGATAAATTGATAAATGAAGCTTCTCTCAAATTTCAAACTGATATTAAGACTTCCCAAAATTCTTTATCTAAAGTTGATCAAGTTCTCAATGAAGTGAAGGAAATTAAAACTTTTATTCTTGCTGCTAACACTAAACATCATAAATGTGTTATTAATTCAAGTAATACTCTTGTTAAATTGTATGATACTGAGGCAAAGTTGGCTGACAAATTGGCTGATAAGGAACTTAAAATCAAATACTTGCAAGTAGAATTGGCTCAAACAAAGAATGAGTTTGAGAAGGTAGAAAATAGATGCTCTTGAAAAAAGGAACAAAAATTCAAATAAATCAAAGGCTTGTTCGGATTGTGGAAAATAAGGATACTCCTTATGTTGATTATCTTTCATAGTTATTGGATGTGAAATTGGCTCCAATTCTTTCTCAAATCAAACATGGTGTTACAAGTAGCAGTGCTCCTTCGCAACAAGGTGGATAAGAGATTGAAAATGTTGTTTTGAAAAACCCAATTGTGAATGTTCAAAAGGAACCAATTATTATCAAAAGTCCATATGTTGTTCGGAAATTAATCAATGGAGCTAATGCACCAAAGATTCAAATTGGTCACAGATCAATGAAGAGACAACCGGATGATAGCACATTTAATGCATATAAGTTTTATGTAGATGGTGTGGCATAAAGTTGTTTTCTTATTGTTGTTCCAAAAGAAGTGGGTCCAAAAGAAGTTGAAGTTGTGAAGGAAGAACAAAAGAAAAAGGATGAAGAATTGGAAAGATTGAAGTTATATCAAGATGAGTTTAACCGCATTGAAGGCAAAAAGAGAGATAAAGAAGCAATAGAGGCTACTCTAAGAATTTTGTGGCTTGAGTGGACGATGAAAAGAATGCAAGATGTTGCAATCAAGAAGGTTAGGAAGAACTGGCTTGAACCAAACTCACTGTATTTGGTTGACCTTCCTCTCTCCGAATCTATTGCAAACAAGATGTTGCAAATAAGAAGGTTGGGAAGAACACATCAGAAAGTCAATTAAAATTACGAATGTGTGGAAGAGCCTTTTAGTTTAGAAGTTTTAATCATATGGCCGAACTTCCTCTGTCCAAATCTATTGCAAACAAGAAACTTATCATGTTTTATCTCGAAAATTCTCAACCTCAGTAGGAAGTTTTGTCTTTGAAGCGAATCATGACTGTTAAGAAGATTGAAGAAGCTAAGACTGGTGAATTTACAAATTACATGTTCACAATATTAAAGGATGAAAATAAAAATTGTTTTTTGATTACTTTTGTTGATTTGTCATTCATGATTCCATGATTAGATTGTGATTTATGGATTGCTGAAGAAACATTAATCAAAATTTGGTTCACAACTTTTACATCTTACTCCCATGATTAGAAATTACTACATGGAGGTGAGCAAAATGGATGTTGAAGTTTCCAAAAGTATGAAGATAAATGCTATTTTTGTGAAACCTCAAGATCATATAGAAGGATTGGAATAGAAGAGAGGACTTATCCAAAAGGAACCTTGGGGTATTGTCTATAAAGTGCTCGAAGAAGGAAAATTTTAGAATAAGATGTTGTACTTAGATGACAAACATAGTTACAATTTTGATTGCTTAAGTAGTGTTCTTTCAAGAGCATATATTTGCAAGGAGAATATGAAAAAAAAAATACGTGAAGTGTGTTTCTAAGGTAATTAGATGGTGGGTCCAAGTTAGACTTGTTCTCATGGAAATTGCAGAAGAAGTTTTCAGAGAACAAAATTGAAGAATCATTTCGCAAGTCAATAAAAAGGGGGAGATTGTTAGTATCATATTTTTGTACTTGAGTTTTGTAATGTGAAATAGGTTTGAAAATGATAGTATGTTTAGTAATGATACGATCATGATTGTAGTCATTTACTTAGGTCACAGTTGTTAGTTGGTTATTTTGACAACTGTTGTTTTTGTTGGATAAGGTGTCTAAGTCCATAACTTATTTGGTATATACTTGACCCGACCGGCATGGTCCATTTGGGTTGCATCTCATCCAAACTATTATGGATAATTTTATGAGAGTTATACACATATGTTTATTAATATATTATGAGTTATAATATATTAATATGAAGTTACGTTATTTAATTAGTTTTAGTCTTAAATTAATTATGAATTAATTTAGAGATTAAAAGGAATACTAATTAAATTATGGGCTATTTGTTTTATATAGTGTGGGCTAATACTCATTTGTTAATGGGCTAGGCTTATGTGGAAGTCCATGGATGATCCATGGAGCTTTTAACCCATGGATCCTTGGAAAAGGAAAAGACATGGGTTATTAGGGTTTCACCCTAACCATGCATACTATATAAGCATGCTTATGGAGCATGAAATGAAGCCTAAGAGAAAACTAGTGAACTAGTGTGTGTGTGCATGTGTGTGGACGAAAATACAAGAGTGTGTATACTCTCTCAAAGTTTTCCAAGAGTTTGTGGTGTTTGTGATTCCATTTGAGGCATTCACACTATTGGTGCTTGGCCCTCAAACTCCTTAGAACCAAACTCACCAAAAGGTATGTAATCTCTTCTAACTCTTTTATGTTGAAATGTTCCCCATGCCATGTTAGATAGGTTATAAACCTTGGAAAATTATTATTTTGCATGTATTTAGACAAACATAGATCCAAGGTTTATTAGGGTTGCATGCACACTTAGGAAGTGTTAGATTGCTCAAAACCCAACAGTGGTATCAGAGCCTAGGCTTGCTTGTTTGATACTTGATGCAAAATAGTGAAAAAAGTCGAAATCGTTGCTGTCTGCATGGTGGACTCGCCGAGTCCATTGGGGGGACTCGACGAGTCCAAGGCAAACTTCAACCTACTCGGCGAGTAAGTTCATGCACTCGACGAGTAGGATCGAAAGAATGCAGAATCTCGACTTTTGCTGCTGGAAATGGACTAGAAACATTACCCTAAACTGTTTTGGTGTTATAAAACTTATTTTAGTTGGTGTAATGGTTGTTCTAATCCATTTACAATAGCATATATCAAAATTCCATGATTTTATGTGTTCATATAATTCTTGAATTTTTGATGATCATGTTCATGTTCTTATGAATTTAGAAAATGATAGGAATTATTTGCTGAATTGTTTAGATTAATTCTTGATCATTTATGTGTTTTAATGGAGTCCATAATTTGTCCTCAAGTTATGGATTACCAAAGGTCACTTTCATTTAACACACACTTAAAACACATAAGTTACATGAAAATGAAGAGTCTTCATTTTTATGAACCTTTAATTCATAAGTTATGAAATGAAGAGTTTTGCAAAGTTACAAAACTTGCCCTCAAGTTTTGGAATTTGTAAAGTTTCACACACTTTAATAAACTTTAATTCCAAACCTTAGAGTTTTAATAGTTAAAATTCAACCCTTATACTATTTATAACATTAATGGTTAATTATTATATATATGTATAAGAATAAGTCGTTTTACCGTTAGTAGGCCTCATTCACGAAGCCGGTCTATAAGGTGGGTATAAGGTTGTTGCCTATAAAATGGCGACTTAATGGGTGTATACTCTCACCCACCGCTTGCTTGATCGGTGGAGGGTCGTTAGCCGAACGGGTAGAACAATGACTTTAAATCCTCATTAAAAGTATAATGAATATTATAAAATAACTAAACTCTTTTAATTCCCAATCTTAGTTATTTTAGGAAAATGTGAACATGGTGCTAATCCATGGAATTCACACTTTGTACCTTACCAAGTCGTTGGTGGAGCGTGTGTGGTTAACCGGCACACTAACTAGGACTAGTAAGGATCACGAAGGGTGACTTAATGTTTGTCATAGATCAATGGAGCGTGTGTGGTTAACCGGCACATTGATTAGGTGATAATATTAAGAGTACCAAGTGAATTAGCATGGTTATTCACACCTTGTTTTGTGATCCTCGGCATCCCAGTCACAAAACTTGAAGGGCACAATCGAGATTGAAACATGCCATTGAAAAGTTCAATGAATCTCAAAAGAATCTAGGAATTTCAAATCCAATTAAACCTAATAAATCATTTCGTTTTCATGGTGGAAATTGGTGAATCGTCATTCACCTACCTTTCAAATATATTATTACTTAGATTACGGCATCCCTCTTCTAAGTGTAATATATTGTGATTGGATCCTAGCCTTAATATTACATTTGGGTGTCTTATTAAGGATCCTAAATATCTAATCTAAACTTACTTTCTTCTTTCAGATGTCTTCCAACACTAATGCTTCAGGCTCTAACCCAACTGGTTCTTTCTCTCTCATGAATCTTTGTGGGAGGGTCATCTTTGATGGTTCCAACTTCATGGATTGGATTAGGAACATCAGGATGGTTACTCGTTACGAGGACAAGGAATATGTCCTCGATAAGGAGTTAAAAGAACTTGATGAGTCTACTGCTACTCCTGAGGAGATCGCTGAATTCAGGACTCATGAGAGAGATGCTACTAAGGTGGCATGTATCATGATGGCCACGATGACAGCCGAGCTCCAAAAGTCGTATGAAGATTTCTACCCTTTTGAGATGCACCAAGACCTGATGGAAAGGTACCATCAGAGTGCTCGTCAGGAGCGGTATGAAATAATCTCCTCCATAATAACTACCCGCATGAAGGACGGTGAATCCGTCACGGGCCACATGCAAAAGATGCAAAGGTATGTGGACCGTTTGCTGAAGCTGAATGTTAACATCCCCGAGGAGTTGGCAATTGACATCATTTTGCACTCCTTGCCTTCTTGTTATGATCATTTTCGAATGACATATCATATGAACAAGGAGGAAGTTACCCTCAGCAAGCTTCAAGGACTCTTGAAGACCGCTGAAACCGGTCTTAAGGGTAAAGCGGTTGTTACCTCTACTACTCCTACTCCAACTTCTACCCCTGTTTTAGCTATTGGGCAAGGCAAAGGGAAAAAGAGGAAGCACCCTTCGAAGGGTACCAAGGGAAAGTCTCTTGAAGGCTCCTCATCAAAGACTAAGAACGGTTCTGTCACTCCTTCTGCCATTCCAAGGATGCTGAATGCTTTTATTGCCATGAAAAGGCACACTGGAAGCGAAACTGCCCTAAGTACTTGCAGGATCTAAAGGATGGGAAAGTGAAACCCACCTATGCAGGTATTTACACTATATTGTCTAATTACTCAACATATTCTAACTCTTGGGTGCTTGATACAGGATGTGGTATTCACATATGTTCTGATTTGCAGGGCCTAAGAAGAAGTGAGGATGTGGAGCACGGGAAGATAAACTTAATCATGGGGAATAGGAAGGCTTCACCTGTTTCCAAGATTGGAGTTTATACTTTGTTGCTTAATAATGGGTTAAAATTAGATTTGAATAAATGTGTGTACTCGTCTGAAATGGCGAGGAATATTATTTCTTTTCATGCTTTGTACAAACAAGGTTTTACCTTTTCGTTTGATAATGAATGTGGTGGTATTAATGCTTTCTTTAATAATGTGTTTTATTTTAAAGCATTACCTTGTGATGGTGTGTATGAAACTGTGTCGATTGTAGACAACTTAGGAAATAATGTGTTGTATATTGATTCTTCTACTAGCCTAGATAAAGCATCATTGTGGCATTGTCGTCTTGGACATGTAAACAAGAAACGCATAGGCCAACTCCAAAAGAGTGGAGTCTTGGAATCATTTGACCTTAAATCAGATGATAGTTGTGAATCTTGTCTACTTGGAAAAATGACAAAATCACCCTTCACTGGAACTTGTGAGAGGGGTGAAGGTTTGTTGGACCTAATACATACTGATGTATGTGGGCCATTCAAAACCGCCACAAGGGATGCTAATCGGTATTATGTGACTTTTATTGATGATTTTAGTAGATATGGGTATGTCTACTTAATCAAACATAAGTCCGAAACCTTTGAAAGGTTTAAGGAATTCAAGCAGGAAGTAGAAAATCAATTGGGCAGGAACATTAAGATGCTTCGATCCGATCGAGGTGGTGAGTATCTTAGTACCGAGTTCCTTGACTATCTTAAGGA